GTCACGTCACTGCTGTACCTGCGGGGCGGGAGAGGCACCTCAGCTCTGGGGAACAGCAGAGTGACAGCCAGGGGGACATCCCGGCCCATGGACAGAGCTGGGGCTGGGCGGGCTCCAAGGTCCCTTCCCACCCAAACCATCCCACGACTCCGTGATTCCAGAGGCTCGGCCCTGGCCACGGGGCACAGCCCTGCCCAGAGGAGTCTCTGGGATGGCTCAGCCCAAGGATTTCCAACAGAGAAGCGACAGGAGGTTTCCCAGCCCACGAGCCCAAGTGCCACCACCCGGACAAATCCCATCTCCCCCTGCTGCCCACGGACAGGGAGCCACCTCAGCATCGGTGTCACCGTGCAGCAGCGTGTGGCACCCCGTGGGGACACCTGGGGACACCCCACAGCCACCAGCTCCAGCCTGGCTGCTCCACCCCACCATGCTAAAGCCAGGGGCCGAGGGATCATCCCTAACAAAGCAGGGATGAGGGAAAGCGCTGAGTCCCGGGGCTGGGAGCAGGGAAGCGTGAACAGAGCTGCTCCACAGCCACAGGCAGCCCCTCCTGCCACCACCCTGGGCACGGGTATCAGGGATCCAGGGATCCAGGGAGGGAACTTCCTTCTCCTGGACCACACGGGACCACCCGCCCGCCACGTGCCCACGGAACAATTCTGAGTTCAGAGACAGAACAGGCACTCACTTCTCCACCAGTGTCTGCACACAGCCCTTCCACGAAGCCATCTGCAGGGCGAGGTCGGCGATGGCCAGAGCCAGCTGGGGAGTGGGGAAAACACGGATCAGTGTGGGCACGGCTGGCATGTGCCAGGAGAAAGGGCCTGCAGGGCTGGCAGGGAACTCTGGAGTCCATCACAACATCCCTGTGGGCAGGGAACTCTGGAATCCACCTCCACCATCCCTGTGGGCAGGGAACTCTGGAATCCACCCCCACCATCCCTGTGGGCAGGGAACTCTGGAATCCACCTCCACCATCCCTGTGGGCAGGGAACTCCAGGATCCACCCCCACCATCTCTGCCTGTGCTCAAACCCTGTGGTGACACCCGCCACCCTGAGGGGTGACATTCCCTCCTGGAGGACTCAGGAGTCAGACAGGCACCCTGGTCTCAGCCTGGAGGTGCCAGATCCCCCCGTGCCCCAGGAACGTATGGATAATGGGAAGGAAGGGAGTGAAGAGTGAGGGAAATCCCCCTGGACACCCAGGGTGCTGCTGGGTTGGGTCTTCACGGCAGAGCACGGGGAAAAGCCCAGGAAGAGCTGCTGCTCCTTCCCAAACAGCAAACGAAGATTCAGTAATGGATGTGACAAAAGGAACCAAGGGATGAAGGAGGGAGAACAATCCCCTGGCGGGCTGGGAGCAGGGACAGCCATCCCTGTCTCCAGCAGAGCCCTGGAGCGAGCGCTGGGAGCAGGACACGGAGGGAGCAGCTCCCTCCCCCTGCCAGCACCCACCTGGGTGACAATGACCGGGGACAGGTCCTTCAAGTTCTGGATGTGGGACAGCAAAGAGTCCCGGAGCGAGGCGTGGGAATCCGTGGGGAGCTCGTAGAAGGAAGTCTGGATCTTCATCTTCATGGTCTGTGCTGCAAAGTAGCAGGACTCCACATCCTGGTGGATCTGCAGCAGCTGGTCCGAGATCTCCCAGGCATGGACCTGTGGGAAAACCAGGGCCTGGTCAGAGAGCAGGGCTGGAACAGCACCAAGGGCTCAGTGGGGTCAGGGGGCTGCAGACACAGCCCAGACCCCCATGGAAACACAGCCCTGTCCTGCTGCAGCGAGTCCAGAGGAGCCCATCCAGGACATGCTTCCAGGGCTGGAGCCCCTCTGCTCTGGAGCCAGGCTGGGAGAGCTGGGAAAGCTCAGAGAAGGCTCCAGGGAGACCTGAGAGCCTCTCCTGGTGCCTAAAGGGGCTCCAGGAGAGCTGGAGAGGGACTGGGGACAAGGCATGGAGGGACA